TCAACCAGTTATAAATATTCTCTTGAGAAAACTTACTTCATTTTCTACACAGAGTTTAACCTCTGCCCTGTACAAAATTTTGAATTCCAATTCTTTGTTTTAAATATACTCAATGTGGGTTTAGGGTAGTGTAATCACCACTCATAATTTGTTCAGTTTTATATTAATAACTTCAATTAAGTAGTCCATTTACAAATATATGGATTATTTATTTCCTCTTAACTTTCAATTCTGTTTCTAAGCAAACATAAACATATAATGGATTGATTCTGAATTGACATATTTCACATTAAAATTTCAAGTCTTTAAGTCTTACATTTTCTATGTAATAACATACATATTTATTTATAAATATTATGTATACTCAGGAAAGAACTTTTTATATCAGATTTGCAAAAAGGTCTGATCAGTCTGTGGTAGCTTTGCTCCTAAGTTGAAGTAGAAAATGCCAGAGACATTGCTTTTTTAAAAATAAGCACTAAGAAAACTAATTAAACTAGTTAGCTACAAAGGGAACACTGTAAGAAGGAAAATAGTTTGGGATTGAACCCTATGACTTTATTGTTTTCACAGAAAATGTAATAACTCCTCATTGGCATCAACTACCCAGTTGCAAGAAGAGTGTACCTTCTGCTTTGTTGAGACACAGATGAAGCAATTAGTAAGTAGCCATCAACCAAGAAAAAAAATGAATTGAAAGTAAATTTTATCCAGTTTACATGTCTCTTGAAAGGCCTTGATAGTTGAAAGGCACATTAAAAAACAAAACAAAACAAAAAACCACAAAAGAGTTTTTTGATAAAGAACATGCATTCAAAAGAATCCTTTGAAATAGCTTACTAAAATCAGATTAGCTTGTCACCATCTTTCAAAACACTAAAAAAACAAAAAAACAAAAAAACCCCACAAACAAACCCACAACAAAAACAAAGAAAAGAGAGCAAGAAAAATACCACAGCCCATTTCATACAATTTCAAGTACCGAACCAAATTAATTGTTCTCAAATTACACATTTTGACAAATAAGTTTATTATTGTCTTTAAAATAAAAATGCATGTTTGGTGAAAAGTTAGTACAGTTGTCACTCATATTTTGTCATATTTTAAAATATGAAAGTAATGAATGAGATTATTTGTACTATCTATAACATGATATAAGTGACTAACAGTTTTGTAATTCTGATTATCGTGGTTATCGTACTTTATTGCCATGCAAAATCAATTCTGGTGATGTATGTGAAGTACCATTAGTTTAGCCTATTTCATGGTATTGTGCTATACCATGGATCTTTCAAGTCTCAAAGAAAATTTAAGCACATGGAACTGAAAAAAAGAACACATTTTACACCAGGGATGCATAGCATATTATAATTCGTGATGGAGCTAAAAGATATGAAGCAGAAAATAGAAAAACATATGACTATATATTCTTATATTCAATATATATATTGATATAAGAATATAATAGAAGACTTAGATTGTAAAGCACAAAATAAAAGTTTGCTATTTTTAAATACTGCACAATGAGTATTTAATATAAATTCCACAAAAATGGGGCCACTATTACTAACGAAAAATAATAATATTGGGCATGATTTAGGATTTCTGAAAACTTTAGTGAATTTTGATATCTAAATGTCATCAGTTTTTGGATGCAGTATAATTTTTATATGTCACTACATAGAAATGTCACCAATAGTAATTCAAATAGGCCAATTGCAGAGATGTTAAACTGTGGAGAAGCAAGTGTCTTTGAAATGATGAAACAAAGTAATGTTCGTAATTAATCAAGGGTCAATTATTGGCAGGAGGAGATTATGTAGATATCCTTCTCCTGGAAATTAAAATCTCCACTGCCTGATGCCTTCCTGAAAAAGAAAAAAAGAGATTGACATCCATCACACTTAAAATATGTTATAAAAAAGAAAAGAGGCGATAAGTTAGTAAGTTCAACTTATAATAAACACAAAAATAGTAGAAAAAGGAAGGCAGTTGGTAAACAGTTAATTGTTATTATTATCACTAATATTAAAGAAGAGAGATTACTTAACACAATTTACATTTATTTCACTTATCCCAATTAAAAATTTTCTGCATTTTATCCATTGACTTTCAATTAAAGCAATGAAACATTTGATCTGGAGTGAAAAACAATGATTCTAATTCTGTTTATTGGTTTACATAAATGATCCAGAACCCACTTGAGATATATACTTTGTTACCATATCAATAAATATAATTGCTTTGCAATTCTGATTGCCCTTTGTTGTTGGCACTCATCAGCAATTTCTTAAAATTTTAATCATAATTAATTTTGAAGTACCAGCCAGTTCTCATGAACTTCTGAAGCCTTGTGTATTTTTACAGTGTGAAAGGTAATAAAGTCTTAAGACCTTATTAATGTTTAATAGTAGGATTGAAACTTTTAGTTACAGCTAATTCTTTGTGTAGATTTACTTAGGAGAAAAAGAGACTTGTTTTCCTGAAAATGACATATGTATATCCAAATATTTTGAATGTATTTTTTTATTTTTTTGTAAAATCCTCACTCAAATAAAAGTTTAAGGAAAGAAGGCAGCAATGAGTTAAGCCTCTGTTTAGATCTAAAACCTTTTTATTGATATTACCAGCAATGAGTGAGCAGAAAATCAATAAAAAAGATGGTCTACTAATACGGGATGATGGAGAAAAGAAGATAGTTGCCACACAAGATGGAAGGCAAAATGAAGGAAAATTTAGTATACATTAAGCTAAGTGCCTCAAATGTTACTTATCTCTTTGGCGTTACTGTAATTTTGAAAAAAAGCAACACAACAATATGCCTGATTTGTTCAAATAAGTCATGAAATTCTTTTTTTTTGTTTATCCATTTTAATTTAAAGGGTTTGGCTTAGCTCAATTCTATCACTACTTTCAAACTAGTCCCTTCTTTAACTATGAAAATACACATTAAATTCCAAGTTCATATTTGTTTCATGTTTTACTTTCAAAGATTTGACTTTTTTTTTTTTAACACGTATGACAAAAGTGGGAAAGTGCATTAAGGAGTTCCTATTAAAATTTCTTCCTGTAAACATTAAGTTACATGAAGCACTGAAGGTTTATGCTATGGTGACATAACAGATAAATTATATAGCTATTCTCATTTTGGTAATAAGTGAACATTGCTCAACAAACACACATACTGCTTTTCATACCTTACCTGGAAAGAGGCTTTATTGAACATAGCTGTAAAGTTATCTTTTAAGGTGAATTACTGAATTTGCACAAACATTTCTATAGACTTAAAAAAATCAAGCTGTGTCATGTCCCCACTACATTTTGTTGTGCTTTTTATATTAATATTTGCAAATGTTATAATTTAATACTTATATCCCAATTACTTGCATAACCAGTTTTTTTAAATCCTGGGGTGTTGATAGAACATAATAACATTAATACTATTCTTCTTTAGACAAAAGTCTTAAATGAAGTTAAAAGCTGAGATAATTTAAGGAAAGAGATCTTCAAATTTTCATACAACAAGTTTAAGTGAAATTTACAATGCATTGGAAAACTGGCTGGTTAAAGGTATGATTTATCCTCAGGTAGCTCAAAATCATTTTTACAGGTTTTTGCTTTTTTTTTCTGTAAAAGTGTTTTTTAATCTTTGTAAAATAATAAAATAATATTTCACAATTTGCACAGAGTCTGACTTAAGGGCAGAGGCATGTTACCCTCAGTGTTTAGAATAAAGCCAGATTTTTCAGGCCCAGTTCCGCTGTAGAGTTTGTATGCACTGAAATCACAAACATTTTCTTGTTCCCTCTAAAGCTAGGGCCAATTTCACTTCAAATGGAGGTTAGAGTAAAAAATCACTCTTGCGCTGAGTATTATCTTAACCTTTTGCTCTGGTTGACCCAATGAATAACCTGGAAGAAAAAAAGTTGCTCCCTTGTCTGGTCTCCGTGGACGGTACTTGCTAATGGACAGTAAGCTGGAAGGCCATGGCTGTCTGGTCAGACAGGCGTCTCCTTGGCTCGGCTTGGGCTTACGCAGCAGCTTCAGTCCTTTCTCCCTCAGAAGCGGCTTTGTTGTCTTGCCTGTAATTTGCACGTTTAGGCTCTGCAGTTTGTTTATAAAATAGTTTTACACAAACCACTCTTAGCAGTGCAAGCTTCTGAGCTGGAAATTATTCAGGCTTGTTTCATTGAAGGCACTTAGTTTCCATGGCAATTTATAAAAGATGGTGGTTTGGTTTCTTCACTGGAACAGATGACAGTTTGGGTGCTCAAGTGGCCGCGCGCAAACTGGATAAGCCTGTGTGTTTGTAAGCCCAGGTGGACCATCCTGGATAGCAGTGCATGCAAAAAGAGACAGCACACAGTTATCTAGCTTAGCCATGGGAGGAGAATGAGGAAAACAAAGACAAATTATAAGGGTCATATGGGGATAGGTGGGGAGGATGAATGTTTTAAATAATTCTGAGTTCAGGTTCTTTTCAAGGAAGGGTAACAACCAAAGGTAAAAGGGCCTACATTTATTGAATTCTCTACGTAAAAGCTTTTCCAAAGGAAAATAAATGCCAGCTCTTCACGTACCCTGTTTACAGTGAGGTTTTTGTTGGCAGGCCATTATGTTTCCATGGTAACAAGCAAACTATTCATTTGAAACAAAACCAGCCAAGACTTTGTGCTTTGACAAGAATTTCTATAGCTCTTTTTTTCCCCCCAGAGTTCAACCAGATGACCAGATGACACTGTAATCGTTTTAGTCACAAAAGCACCTGAAGGTCTCTTCTCTACTCAGGTCAACACTATCTTGTATATGCAGTTTGGAATAACTTATACTTCCATGACATCTTTTTATCCCCAGTGCTTAAAAAATTTGTTTTTATTATTTTATTTTTGAGTCAGTAGTCAGTGGAGGAATCTTTGGTAGTTTGTTTTTTCAATGTCCATTTACAAAGACTCTTCATGCCAGTGCCTGGTGAATCTTTTATAGCCTCTGCCAGAGTAGGGTCACCTTCGAGGACTCAGGATAGAGATGAGGACAATAACTGGAAAAAGCCATATATGTACTAAAATTCCAGCAGCACCATCAACGGAATCTAAAAACAAGGAAAATAAATGCCAAGAAACAATCAAACAAAAAATAAGTATTCCATGCAACAACCAACTCCACTTAGGTAAACTAATGAAACATTATTTTGTATATGAAAACAATTTTGGAAAACCTTTTTTCTTTTTGGTTTTATTTATCAGCTTCATTTCTAAAGCAAGTGAAAAGGCTATCATTTTAATATATGACTAGGCACTGGATAAAATTGGTATAAAATGGTATAAAAATTGATTGTGTAGGTTTGTGGCTACATTCAACCTGCACACACAGAAAATTCTCAGAAAGATAAATGGTCATCTTACCTTTCCCCCGCCCTCCCCCTCGCCACCCCACCGCCTCCACCCAAGCTTTCAGAAATGTTTAAGCATAAAGACAGAGAAAAACTACACTTGATGAAAACTAGGGAGGAATTGCTATGGGTATTGAAATTAGCTACTGCAAATTAATTTACTTATTTCAGAAGTAAATTATGTTCTCTTGCTTTCATCGTTTGGAAAGTTTAATTCATTTAATTGATTTTAATTTATAATATTTTTCAGTGATTAAGTTATCAAATGTGAATTTTCTTTGTAATATAGCAACTATCTTTGGTTAATATGCTATTGTCACTGATTCATGTAATGAAATCCAAAGGAAATCTCAGTCCCTCTGAGGAGAAAGCATGCTTTTCTATGCATTTGACAAACCTACTTCATTTGAGCTATTACTTTTCTAAAGCAAAATTAGCCAGACACAGGCTGAAATTTATAAATGTATTACTTGAAATGCTAAGTGTAATGACAAGAAGGTAAATCTTGAGAAAAATGGCTCATTGTTTTATACAATTTTAGTTTCTGTCCTTTTACATTGTTTAAAAATGTAATCAATTGAGTTCATAGGAGTGAGTGATAACTGGGTAGCTGTACAAATATGACTTTCAACAACTGGACTGATATAATTTCTTATTAATTATACTCAATTAACAGAGACTCTGATTTGCTCTAGACTTAATACAAAATTGACTTTCATGCTCCTTTTGTATATGAATAATTGATGAATTTATTTATTTTAAAAATATATTTTATTGACTTTCTTAAAGAGAGGAAGGGAGAGGGATAGGAAGTTAGAAACATCAATGGGAGAGAAACATCGATCAGCTGCTTCCTGCACATCCCCCACTGGTGATGTGCCTGCAACAAAGGTACATGCTCAGAATCGAACCCGGGACCCTTTAGTCTTTGTTACTTGAGTATAATTAATAAGAAATTATATCAGTCCAGTTGTTTTATCTGAAGAATTTATTTTTATAAATTTAGTTTCACTGATATCTCTTGATGTGATCACAAAAGTAAAGATTCCAGATGGTCCTTTCAATTGAAAAAATTTGTAAAAGGAATTTTTTAAGTTTTCTCAACTTTAAATGAACAACATGCAGATGAAGTTTTTAAGAAGCAGCTCAATACACAATTCTGATGGTTTTTTTTTGCATTACTCATACCTCTTTTATATAAAAATTGATTTGTAGTGAAAAATCACATTTGAAGATATAATTAAACCATAAACCTGAAACCAAATTACCAAACAATTGATTGTGGTGCAGGTATGCTATTAATTATACCAGAAAAAGAAAAAAAGAAAAAAAAAAAGAATAGGACTAGCTCTAGACAGTTTGGCTCAGTGGATAAAGCATCGGCTTTTGGACTGAGGGGTACAGGTGTGGGCTTAGTCCCTAGTGGGAGGTGTACAGGAAGTAGGTAATCACTGATTCTCTCTCAGTGATGTTTCTATCTCTCCTTCTCCCTTCTCCTCTGAAATCAATAAAAATATATTAAAAAATAGGGCTAATCCATTTCTTAATACAGGGTGTCCTCCAAAAATGTTTATACATACTTTGAATAATTATAAAGGAAGTGCTTATTAAAATTCATTCCATTTTCAAAATTGAGATATCAGCTGTTAAAGTGTGTATACTTTTTTGGGAAAACCCTGTTATGACTGTTTAAAATATTAAACTTGTTAAAATGTTTAACAAACGTGAAACCTAAGAAATATTTTTATAAACTGGGGGAATAAAAAGGAGTATCTATGTCTGTATAAATATATGTTGAATATATAGATTAACTAAATATCTTAAGAAAAATTGAAAACCTCTGAAATTAATAATATCAACTAAAATGTTTTAAAACCCCAATTAAAAATCATAAATCTGCATCAAAATTATATTTTTTCTTAGGATAAACAAGCATACAGCCAAATTTAATACTTTGCTTTTAAGTTATCCTCAAAAATTTAGCTTCTTAAATATAAGAAATTCTAAATAAAATTCTAAATTCTAAATAATAAAAATAAATGTTAGATTAGAATATATTAATTTGTAACATTAATATTACATTACTTTAACATCTCATCAAACCAATTCACAAAGAGACACTTACTCTTAGTCGTTAGATCTTGTTTTGCACATTCTCCTTCTGCGATTGATACATCATCAATGGCAATGTCACCTTCGATGCCAGGGCCTCGAATACCTTCAAAAATGAGCTGCAAATATAAATGAAACAAACCTAAATGTAGCGCTTTAATTAATTTCTATTAAGAAATTTATGAGCAAAACTTAAAATTGTCAACATTCCAAACATCTTTTATACTCAATAGTCTTCAAAATTCTTACTTACCAAAACCAAAATATCTTAATAAAAAAACCATAATGAGATATGTCTTGCATAGTATAAGTTTTTTTTTTTTGTGTGTGTGTGTGTGTGTGTGTGTTTAACAGCAAAATCTATGCATTGGCTTTAAAACACTTAGTTGAATGATATAATAAAACACATACTACAAACCCTATTACTTTTTATTTTCTGGGGTAAGGAAAAATTTTTGTTTGAACAGTATTTCTCTGAAAAATATTCCCTCCAAATTCCTCTATGTAACACATAACACAAGTTTTATTTCTTTAGAAAAGTTTCAAGGAATGAATCTGATCTGGCTTCTGTACAACAGTATTATATTTTTTTAAAGCCCAGAGCAAGATTTATCATATCTAGTAGCCGGCCTTTGGATTTCCGGAATCTATTACAGTGGTTTGCACTGAGGCTTAATTCAGGTGTTGAAAGAATAAAGGAGTAAAATAACCTTTCTTTATTGCTAAATTCTTGATACAATGTCAATATAAGAACAATTAGCAAAGTTATTATAGCAATTATTTTCTTTATAGAAACATAACTTAAAAATTTCTCTACAACCTATTATTATTTTTTGTTTTCAGTTAAACCTTTTAATCTGTTTGATACTAAAAGATAACCTATGCATTTTGGGATTATTTTCCTAGAAAAAATTTCTACATGTCAAAATAAAATATCTGTTTTGGTCTTTCCAGAGAATAATTAGCTCAATAAAGAGTATTTTTTATTTAAAAAATATAATTTATTGATTTTTACATCGATGAGAGAGAAACATTGGGGATGTTCCAGCAACCAAGTTATATGCCCTTGACAGAAATCAAACCTGGGACCTTTAAGTCCACAAGCGGACACTCTATCCACTGAGCCAAACCGGTTAGGCAAGTGGTTGGCAAACTGCAGCTTTCGAGCATATTACCACATTACCATATTACTACGTAGCCTCAGTTTGCCGTTCTGTTGACTAATGAGTTTGCCAACTACTGTGTAAGGCATTATCCTTACCCAGAAGTTTTGACTTCAGGTTAAAGACATTAGTACATTATTAAAATTTTTAGTGTTTTTCCTTAAGGCAGCAGTCAGCAAACTCATTAGTCAATAGAGTGGCAAACTGAGGCTTGAGAGCCACATGTGTCTTATGAGCTGCAGTTTGCCGACCACTTGTGAGGCTTTCCTGCCTATCTCCTGCCTGTCTCTAGCTTGAAGCCTGAGACAAGAAACCCGAAACCAAGCAGCTCCAAAAAGGCATATGGATCCTAGAAAGCAGCTCATCTATAATTGAGTGTCCGTGTAAATAAAACCCTACTTACATTCGTCAAATAAATAAATACCCATAGTATACTAGTAAACATTCAAGAACACTGAATATGGAAAATAAGTAATTTTAATGACTGCACAATGTTCCACCTTAGAAATATTTATTTAACCAGTACCTATTGTAATTGTAATAGCCAAACCAGCTAGGGTAACCATGTTTTAAAAATATTTTGGATTGATGCCATTTATCTGGTAGAAAATCAATGTTAGAATATGTGGTTATTCTTATCCGCTTTATAGTTTTAGTTAAGGAATGTTGAGTCTTCTCTCCTGAAAATAACAGCATAGATGAATGTTATCTTGAAGAAAGTCAAAGCTTAGGTTCATGTTGATATGAGTCTTATTTCATAAAATCAAGCATTTCCATTTGGCCATAAGACTAATACTTTATTGAATGTGAGTAAAGAGATGTCATCACAGATTTTTCTTTTATGTGGGTATTTTAAGGGATTGAACTGAATAAAGTGTAGATTTCTGACTTAATCTCAAATTTTATTTCCTGAAGGAATACGAATGCATCATTCAAGAAAATTTTGTCTGTAAAGAGGAAAGTACTTGAGTCACCAAGACTTTTCATTTTAAAAAAAAGATGGAGAGGGAAAGGAAGGGCAGTGTACCCTGCTTACAGAGTAAAATGCCATGCCGGGTTTACAATTCAGTCCTGGCAAAGATAAAGGGATATGCTTTGTGTGTAAAGTGAGATGCTGGTGAAAAGAATAGTAAGAGTAGGTTAGAAAGTTCTGCACCTGCTCACACAGAATGTAAACAGAAGCTGAGGTCAGAATTCTTTTACTGAGCCATTCCTTGGACTGTAAATGCCTTACCTCCTTATCACCTCCATGACTGTCTCATCCTCTGAACAAGAATGGTCTCCTTTCTTGGGCTCGCTGAATACATTCATCTCTGAGTTCCCAACTTTAGCCTTCTCCCACTGAGCAAAGGGACCACTCACTGAGCCTTTACATCCCAGGCCAGCATTCTCATCCCTTTTATGCTCTGAAAACTGCTCCGAGCTCAGTGCTTTCTCACCTCCTCCTCCCCAACCCCATCATTCCCAAAGAACAACTTTCTTTACTGCAAATGCTTATTTAACAGTCTGGCTATTATCAGAAGCTGAGCTCATTACCTCCCAAACCTTAGCATGTTATCTCTAAGGAAAAATCTGGCAGGTTTGAATCCAAGAGGCCAGAGGCCTGGGAACAGGCTGCTGGGGCTGCTTCCTCCTCCCCCGCCTTTTCTCCAGCCTCATATGCCTACACACAATGTTCCAAAGTCTTTTGGTAACCTGAAGGTTTTGTAGCATCGCTGGGTTAAATGATTAACATCTAAATATTTTAAAATCGCATACAATACTGAAACATTGATTGCTAGGCATGTTTTAATTTGCTCTTAGTTTTTATTACAGAAGGTCTCTTATACTTTGGTGAAGATATATTTTCTTGAAAGTAAAAGTACATTTAATGTGTGTTCATAAATGTTAATCTAAGAAATGCTGGTTGTTTACTTTTTGGTAATCATTGGAAAATTAAGATTTCTAAGAGTGAAGAATTCTAATACATTTTTAAAGAAAAAAGGAAAAAAAAGGTCTATACGAGTTGCTGAAGGTATGACAGAAAGAAAGAATACTAGAGTAGAAATACTTAATGGAAGGTCTGAGGCATGGTTGTGCATTTTTGAAGAACATAGAAAGAAGGTTTGAGGGCTAATTTGAAAGTGTCAAATTTGTGAAGGTTGCATATATGATGAGAAGGAAAAGAGAAACATTGAAAGAAAGAAAAAAAAAGTTCTAAAGTTAACTATTTAAAGTTTAAACAAAGGCCAGACCACTAGCTAATTTATAGCCTGCCTGTAATTAAAAAGCCCTTATCTCCGCCCTGACAGGGACTGAAGGGGAGGAGGAGAGGGGAAAATAAAGGAAAAAAGTGGGGGTTGGGGGAAAGCAAGGGCTATTTTACTGAGCAAGAAAGCCTGAGGTTTCAGTATCCAAGCTTGGCGGGATAAGGTTGCTGGATACTTCTTAAGCTAAACCAGAATATTCAGCAGCAGAATTTTAAAATAGAAGCATAATGCCTCAGACTTCCATCCAGCCTGCTCTTCAGATTGGCTGGGGGTTGAGGTGACATACCGTGTTTTCCTGAAAACAAAACATCCTCTGAAAATAAGACCTACTTACAGGTTTCCTTCTGAGTGAAATATAAGGCATCCCCCCCAAAATTAGGCCCCCCTCGGCTCTGACTTCTCTAAATACAACCTTTCCAACATGATTGCTATGGATGAAACTGCAGTGTTTATGGGCCAATCATCTCAAACAACAATTGAACAGCAGGGTACCTCCTTAGTGTACATTCCCTCCGATGCTTACCAAAGTGCACGTGTTTCCTGTATTTTGGCAATTCGTCTGGATGGCACTAAAATCCCACCTTTAATCATTTCTAAAAGCAAGAAGGAAAAGATTGAACGTGTTTTGGGCATTTTTATTCTTGAAACTGAAAAAGCCTGGGCCACACAAGCAGTTATAAGGAAGTGAGTCGATTTAATGCTGCCCCTTGTTATGTGAGGGAGCCAAAGAGGTCTGCTAGTCTGGGATGCAGCCAGCACTCATCTCGCTAAAGACATGAAGACATTTCTTCACAAAAGAAAAATAGATCAGTTCAATAACTGATGAAATGACGGCCTATCTCCAGACTCTTGATATTGCAATAAACAAGCCACTCAAAGACAATTTGCACATGGAAATTAATGACTACATTGAAAATAGAATGGAGAGAAATCAGCATGGAAACTTTGTGAAATCTAAACTGCAAGAAGTTGTGACATGCTTGAAGAATTCATGGGAGTATAATAAATCACTGACAGTTGCATTGCAAATGCACTGTGAGCAGGCTACCTTGACAAGAAGTACTAATTTAAAGACAGTGCTATTGCTAAACATGAGAGATTTGGTCCACTGATTCTGAAAGAAATGGAGTCACAAGAAATTCACCAGAAAATTCAGGAATTGTATTGTTATGATGATGTTCAGGAATATGATGACATGATTGTCATTGAATAAATGAGTAAATTCTTGATACTGTAGGATTCACAGTTTGTCTGGTTTGGGTTGACAACTACCGTACTACCATACTGTATAATAAATTTCCTTTATTTTCATTTAACAATAAATGTGTACCATATTCTTCTTCATGGAAAAATAAGACATCCCCTAAGAATAAGACCTAGCGCATCTTTGGGAGCAAAAATTAACATAATACACTGTCTTATTTTCACGGAAACAGGGTAGGTACTTGATATGGGTTATATGTATAAATTTGCTTACTTTGCCTTTTCAAAAAAGGAGCATACTGTAATTACTCTATAAATTAGCTTTTCACAATATAACAAAGGACTCATATAAACTTATTCATATGAGAAGCCAATATTTTATGAGCAACTAGTTCTAGTAAAGTCCAAAGTAAAATTTGCATATATATATTCAAATGAGAACTAGTCAAAAGAATACTGTTTAGAAGTAAATTTAAGCTTAAGAGGAAGAGATTTAAAAATCTC